AATATTGGGGCAATCAAGCGTGAGGTTGGAGTTGTTGGACCTCGCCGCCAGTCTTCTGAGAATTCTGGTAAATCCCCATCTTCGCAAAGCTCATCCTTATCAATTATACAATCAGGACGAGAAGGCCACTCCAGGGAATCGACCCGACCCTTTAGTGCTATTTCTAAGGGTGACCAACCTGGTCAAAATATGGCAACTGAAACTGCCATACCAGTTCCTTCTCCGAGCAGATCTTTTTCGAGTAATCAGCATGGTAGCAGACCTCATCAACATGTGGGTCGTCAGAAAGGTATACTGTTTGCAAAGTAGAATATTTATCTAGATGCTTTGAACTTTTATAACCGATCATTTTCTAAAATTGTTGTCATTTTAGTCTGCTTGAGTTGTTAGTTATTGTTTTTGGATTTAATTGTGTCTTGTTTCCTATATGTATTCTGCTATTAATATATTTTGATTTGTAATAGTATAAGTTTGCCCTGGAAATTAGTGTTACATTTTACCAGAGTCGAAAGTATGGATGTCTGAACACCTGCAATTTAGGAATCTTGTTAAGCAGATTAAATGCGAAAGGAACTGGGTAGAAACTGCTGTTATTTTTTCTTTATATTGTAACTGACTGACTGTTGTTGCCCCCTGGCACCGCAAGCGATTTATAGTATCGTATCCTTTGATGCTTTCGTGCACACCTACTTTTATAATTATTTAGCAAAATACTTACCGTGAGTCATGTTTATGTAGCTCTTCAGCCCAACAAGGAGTGGAAACCAAAATCAACCTTGAAACCAAATGCCAACGGACCTGGGGTTATTGGTACTCCTCCAAAAATTGTTTCTCCTCCTGCTGACAATTCTGAAGACTTAAAAACAGAAGCAACTCAGATGCAAGATAGAATGTTTCAATTGAACATCTCTGAGAATCAGAACGTGATCATAGCTGCACATATTCGTGTCTCTGATGCAGACAGATGTCGGCTGATGTTTGGCAGCTTGGGGACAGAATTTGAATCTTCAAGAGATGCAGTTTTCCACACAGTTGAGGGTGCTGAGGAATCAAGTACTGAAGCTTCCCTAAGGTTTGATTGGTAACTATTAATTTGATTTCATCACAACGTGCTCATGCTCATATTTGGAAGACATTACAGTTTACCTTCATTTTGCTTTGAAATTAATCTTCACGAGTGCTCTGTCTATCTCGCTTAAGTATCCTTTTTGGGGAAATTAACATTAGCACTTAGTTATAAGGGGCCCCATCCTTGCTTGTCAGAGTAACAGCTTCCACTGTTCCTTCTTGCACAATTTTTTCTAGTGTGGAACTACATAACTTTGTGGAAGATTTAATTTATAATAAAAAATGAAGCACTTGGGATGACCGTTGAATAGTAATTCGAGTGTCTCCTTTTGGGGAATGCCACTGGTAGCTTCCTTATAAGATTCTTGGTACTTTGTAAAGAAAAAGCTGGTTTTGATTTCTTGGGTTAGAGTAGCATCAGATTTGAATATTTTCTAGATCTTTGACACCTTTGATCCATTTTGTTTCATTTGCACCTACAATTTAATATTGGGAATGATTTTACTAGCAGTAATCGTGAAATATTAAGTATTTCAATGGCAGTGTGTCAGCCTCGGTGCCAGAATATTCTACTGAGGATCCTGCTGGTGGCAAACAGTTAGAATTGATGGATGGCCACATCCGCAATTCTGGATCTAACTCTCCTGCATCGGTTGCAATGTCTGATCATCAATCGTCTGAGCAGAGAGAGTCTTCGAGTCCTGAGAACTTGGACAACTATGCTGATGTTGGGTTGGTTCGGAACAACAGCCCTTCTTATTCTCCGGAGCTGCTACAAACGCAAGATACTTCTGCATTGCCGAGCTTTTCAGTGAGTCTAGTGTTCACTACTCATGACTGAACTGCTTGAGATTTTAGTTGTCTGTTTGCTTTGATCTATTTATAATTATACCAGGCAGGAAATGCAATTATTCCTTTTAATTGCATTTCCAGTTCACTATCATTTTTATTTTGTAATAATTTTCCATTCATGCAGTCATATGAAACCCAGATGGGATATGATATGCCATACTTTCGGCCACTGGTTGATGAAACAGCTAGGGGGCCTGGTTTACTGTCTCAACAGGAGGTAGAATTATTTTGTTGGATGCCATAAAATAAATATACTTTCCATCCCACCCTTTATTTATATCCTTCTCTCTCGCCCTCGTTCTTGCTCTCACACATCTTCTGATCCACATCTGTACAACCTTCTTGTTGTTGAGTTCTGTACATCTTGTTGATACCTAATAGAAACTTACAGGAAAATTTATTTTTCTTGCTTCATGTTTGTTTCAATTCCGTTTTTGCTTTTGCCACCACATCTTACTGTTTACTGCTATGGATAGCTTATTTAGGTATTGTTTGATTGCTTTGTTCTCAGGTATTGGGGCATACAGCGAACAGCAGTCCTGCGTCCTCTATTGCCATGGTCCAACAGCAACAGCAGGTGGTACAACAGCAACAGCAGCAACAGCTTGCCCAGATGTACCCCCAAGTTCATGTCCCTCATTTTACCAATCTTATGCCATATCATCGGCAGTTCATTTCTCCTGTCTACGTTCCTCCAATGCCCGTTCCTGGTTACTCTAAATGAAGAGGACATTACAATAATATTTCAACGATTTTATCGGATAGTCACTCCAAGGATATATTGTCTGCTACAAATTCGGAGATTAGATTTAGCTAAGCAAAAAAACTAAACAAACATTATGAATCTCAGTATTCGGAATCCATAATGATGCAATCTTATTTGTAAACAAAGCTCCAACTGCCTGATTTTGTTAAGGAAATGAGAGACGTCTTCAAAATAAAATGCACATTTATAAATCCCAGTCTTTTTTCAATATCTGTTCATTGAGAGCAATATAATGTTCTGAGAACATCATGTAGTGTAATAGTGAACTCTTCCCACAATTTCGACCTATAGTGTTATACATGATTAGTGAAAGTGCCTGACAAAGAAAACTAAGGCCCTGTTTGGGCCCGATTTTTTTCTCCAAAAAATTGATTTTTTGACCGTTATTTCACTATTCTAGCCGTCACATTTGACTTCTTCTCTCACGGGTGGACCCCACTTTTCTTCTAACGGTCAAAAAATCAATTCTCAAAATCACTCCCAAACAGGACCTAAGATTGAGTGGTGAGTGCATTTTGTTGCATGTAGAGAATGGATATTATTTGCAGTTGCAGATTAAGTTTTGAACTGTACTTCATCTTTTATAGAAATTAAGTTACATATGAGCATTGAACTACGTGTACCCATCATTGTAGTACCTAAAATCTTTATGGTGACAGGTGCACGATAGTAACCTACCTCCATCTTGGATAATATTTGGGCCGCACGCCCAATAATATGGAGATTTCTACGAGAAGAGCAATTTAGACTTTTCGAATGCCATTTCACATTTTTTGTTAAATTATGAATGATGTTTTTTCTTTTTTGCACCGGAAAAAGGATTTACCATCAACTTATTCATTTTCTAAAAAATTAGAATGCAACATGGATTTTTATGTATTCTTTGATTTAATATAGCACTCCTCTCCCACTCAAACTAACATTATGTCATTGAGATCTTTAAAATTCATTTGTTCTCAAACTCATTTCCAATTACATTCTCAATAAAATAATTTTACGTATGGATTCATAATTTTTTTTCTACTTTTTAACTATATATTCATTAAAAAGTTACTTTTCATAAAATACATTTTTAAAAAATTCACACCAAATTGGCTTTATATAGGGTTTCACACGTATTAATGTATTTGCAAGGTGTACATATGAAACAAATAAAAGAATATATATTTGCTCGAGCTTTAGATTAAATGTAGTGGTAATAATGTGGGTGTGAAATGACGTAGTGGTTGGTAAAAAATGCCAGAAAAGGTTAAAGTTGATCTCATGATTAGATTTAATTCAATATAGTAGCCGCATGTCACGTACTAGTTGGTAAAAAACGTTAAAAAGGGATAAGGTTGGTGGATGCAGGCAAGGCCACAAACGTAGATTTAGTCATTTCACGTAATTAGAAGGTATATAGGATAGCACTAAATCGGTTGTGATTGTGATTGTTATAGGTAACAAGAATGTCTTAATCCATATTTTAAAAATGAAATACGCTCAAGCACTTATGTTCTCATTTAATAAACTAAATCTAATACATATAAATGAATGGACAAAAAACTGACTCAAATTCCCTATTTTGTATATTTAATGTTCATTTGTCATGATTATCAATCAAAATTAAAGTCTTTGTTTGATTTTAATTATTTGATAATCACTTCTTTCCCTCACTCATTTGTGATTATAATTTTTTCAAAAAAAAATTATTTTTCATAATTTTACTCTTTAACAACACAAAAATAATGATAATAATAAAATAAAATTAAAGAATCACCTCCCAAAAATATTTTATCCAATAAACACAAACTAACTAATGACTTTGTAATCAACTCCATAATCAAGGATTATTTAGTCAATTCACATAATTCATTAATTTCCCCAATGATAGATCAAAATTTAATTAATTAATAATTAAAGAAGTTGAATTCCATTGACAAAACCAAAATTCCTATTCAAAACCCTCGATCCCAAACATCTTCAGCCGTTCTTCTGTGTGGAATGAAAACCCGTTCATTTTGAAACCCCAGTTCTTCATCTAATCTCCGATAGCATAATCTAGGGTTTCATTACCCTACGAAAAGATTTACTTTTTATATGTAGTAGTATAAATATATACATTTGTTTTTGTCATTGTTGCGTTGGTAAAATAAAATTTGGAGATGGTATCCAGTTCAAGAATCGATGGCGGGCCACAGATTCTATCGGCGGGTGTGCGGAAGACCATACAGTCAATTAAAGAAATCGTGGGCAGTCACTCTGATGCCGAAATATACGTTGCCCTCAGAGAAACCAACATGGATCCTAATGAAACCACTCAAAAGTTGCTCAGTCAAGGTCCCTTTTTCGTTGTTTTAACCATTTTTAACCTGGGCAATTTTATTTTATTTTATTTTATTTTATTTTGTTTTGTTTTGTTTTAAATGTATATGATTCTTAAGTTTACTTCGTTTTTGGCTGGCCGAATGTTACTTTTTTATGGATTTAATTATACTGCAATGATACGTACTAGTGTGCATTAATGAGTATTTAGGTTTAGTGCGAGAATTTTGAATGTAGCACAGATTGTGGCCATTTGCCTTACAATGAAATGTATCGACGAGTGTGGAGTGAATAGTTGATTCTTGAACTATGTACTTCAAGATCTTTCTTGAACTGAGAGCTTTAGTGCCATCAAAAACCATTTCATACCTTCACTTAATTAGAGTCCGGTATGCTTGAGAGAGAGTTTTGGGTGGTATTGCAACTTTCAAACAAAACTTTTTACGCCCAGTATGCATTACTAATTATGCAAATTTCACACAATCAAAAACCAGTTCTTACGTTCACTTAAACAGAGCACGAAATACGATTTAGAGGCGGTTTGGGTAGTGTTGCAACTTGTTGAACAGAACTTTTTAGGCCAAGTATGCATTACTATCATGCAAACTTCACTAATATAAGTAGGGGTCTGGAAATCTTTTTAAGAGTACAGAGTGCAATGCTTTTTACTCTTTTGGATCCTGACTTCTTTCATTTACTTTTACTTTTCCCAATAATAATGGAAAGACCATGAAAGATCTTGATGAATGCATTGCAGTACTGCTTGAACAGAATTGAAAAGATATTTCTTAATATGGTTTCCTGCTCCCAAAGTATCTCGTAATGCTGAAGAAGTGTGTCTCATAGTATTATGTCATCTTTGATATTATTATGTCGTTCTTCTTGCTACATGTTTCTCATGCTTCCCACTTGTATTTACTCAGATCCATTTCATGAGGTAAAGAGAAAAAGAGACAGAAAAAAAGAGGTATCATGCTTGCTGTGTATCTTTTTCTCATATTTTATCGGGATCACTTTTTACCTACTTGTTGAATTAAATTGAATTAACTTCAAACCTTGTTTTCTGCTCAAGACTCATTGCTTTCTAATTTGTCATTATTTAGTTTCATTAAGTTTAAGGCTGACTTTGCTTGAGATTTTAAATTTTTTAGCCATTCATTTGTTTATTTCATAACTTGAAAATTATGAAGTGCGAGCAGTTCTCCTGTATTGATCAGCGTCAACAATAGGCTAATTTATGGAATTCTGCCTTAGGTTTCAGAATATAAGAGTTCCGTTGCAGCAGAGCCCAGAATAAATTCTGAGGTTGTACGTTCGACAGTGAAATCAAATGCACATTTTGATCAGAATGCTCGAAGAGGTGGATATAGTCGAAATGTCTTACCTGGTAATGCACTCTCATTTTCAAGTTTCTTGGTTTCTGTATATGTATGAAGCTATGAGTCGCATATGCAAAGTCCTTATTTGATTCTTAAAAGGAAATTAAAGCATCAATTCCACTAGCTGTATATTCCTTATGTAGTTGTCAAGTATCGTCCTTTTAAAGCTTGTGGACAGTTGTGGAATTGTATTAGTGGCAGCTTTTGATATGCTTATCGACCAAGATGCCTAGTTTTTCAAAATTTTAATATCAACATATAAACTCAACTTTAGAAATATCATTTTTTTTATACTTATGATTGGCAAATTCTCCAGGAAACATTATTTGTACTTATGAATGGTAAATTCTATTTTCTTGTTGCTTTCATCACTGTTGATAGAATCTAACAAAAGGTATAATTTGCCACAAGAAACATAAAATGGATTGACGAAGTAGCGATTACATTATAACACCAGTGTTTAAAAAGTATCAATTAGATGCTGAGGTGTTTCGCCTTTGCTACAGACATAAGCCTTAAGGCGTTTGATGTGTAAGCTTCTGCAATCAATTAAAGTATTTAAAATAATATGATAATACGAAATTATGCTTATTATAAATCCTGAGTCAAACTTGCAAAGAAACATTAAAGATTTCAAAAGTTCATTCTCTTTAAATAGATGAAGCAATAGTTCATTCTTGTTAAGTCAAAGCGTAAGAATTGACGAATAGCACCCTGAGTGTAAGGTTTAGAGCTATTAATGAACACCTTGTACCTGCACAAGGGTGTGCCTTGGGTGCTCTTTTTTTTTTTTTTTTTTTTTTTTTGGTGCTAGCTTTAAATTCTATGTTGCACAGAAATTCAATTTATATTCGTTAAAATGTTAAATTCATATATTGTATCTTTATATCGTTATTATTTTTTATAAGACACAACGCATGACATGTCAGAAACTTGCTCAAGGGGTGTCTAGAAAATATCTCTCGAGTCTGTAATTTAGCAAAATACGCAAAGTTTTGGACAAGGGCACATGGCTTATTGAATGTATGTCCTTGAGTGTTGGGGCCTAACATGACACTCCATGTGTCCGAGGAGTATTAGGAAATGCTGTAATACTTGTGATCAAATGAATAGGAGTTCCTATACAATCTTTTTGTGCCCCTATTTGATTTATTTAATTGTTTATTCATTTAATTCATAGTTATGTTCTTAGGTTTTCCTTCCTTTCTATTGCTCAGTGTTTAATGTTCGAACGTATCTGAGAGTTTTGTAATTTTATTTGCTACATTGAGTGGGGTAAAGGTGTGCAAGTTGTTGAGCTGACTGTACAAAAGTAGCTAAGAGTATGAGAATTGGTGATTCCTATATGATTTTTTATGCTTTCAACCACCCCAGTTTGTGTCTCACTTCAATCTTGCTAAGCTTGAGCTTTTTAATTCTCATGCACTTGCAAATTGGTTTACACAACCTGTGCTTGTGGAAATCCTATCATTTGGATAAGTTTCTCAACCTAAATTACTTGAGTGAATAAAAACCCCTAGCCTATATATAGCCCATCTTTCTGTAGTTGTGCTTTCATCATGCGTGGTGTCTATGGATATTGGATTGCGGTAGGTATCTGGTGTTGTGTCCATTAGTTTATCATTCTTCTTCTCAAGTCTTCTTTGTTTGCAATGAACTATAGGCTTCTTGCCCTTCGTTGCTTGAAGGAATAAAAACTAGTAGCCTCTCTCTCTCTCTCTCGATTTGCACACACTCGCGCATGCATGTGAATTACTTTTTATGTGGGTCTACACATATTTGAGTTTACAGTTGCTTAATTTATTTAAAATATTTATTTTAACTTAGTTTTAAATTTGAGTGTATTATAGTATAAGAAATCTTTAACCTGGAATGGCAATTAGCCAATAACTTTTGAAATAAGCATATCTTTAATTTCAAGAACTCCTTATTCAGTTTATGCCTCTTGTTTTTCATTCTCCATCTCGTGGATTAAAAATGACCTGTAAACTTCCTTCCAATTTAAACTTTACCATCACCTTCTACATACTGTAGAATTGTGTTTTTTTTTTTTGGCCACTCAGTATGCAACTATTTGGCATTGAATAATTTACAGCACTTTTGGGTAATTGATTGGTGTGGTTAGTAAGTATTAAATATGCATTACAATTGCATGTAATTATTATTCTTTTTGCCATTCTCTTTGCAATGTGATATGCTCAGTACACTAAATGTCTACCACGTATTTTGGTTACATACTACTGGTGCGGAACATTTTCATTTATGGTTTACTCAATTCATGTCATAACAACTTGTGGTTGAACATGTACCATGAGGCTTGTACATCACTCTGTTCTTTGACAGATCAAATCTCACTAGATGCAGGTGCTAGCAAAGAGTTCCGTGTCGTTCAAGACAATAGAGCTAATCAAAATGCTAGTAAAGATTTAAAGCATGCACAGAGTTCAACAACTACCAATGAGCGGGTTCCCTCCAATCTTCTAAAGAGGTAAACAATCTTACTATACATGCACTTTTATGTTGTTGGTCATTTTTCAGTGTAGGCTTTGCAAGAATGCTGGTTTGTTAAGATGGTAATATGCTTTGTGCTTTTAATTGATTTCAAGTAGTATTTAATGTGAGATTGCCCAGTTGACATGCATTAATTTGTCTACTGTGCAATTGGTGGAAGAATGAGTAACAGGAAGTTCTATAAAACCTGTGCGATCATTTTTCAAGTTTTAGGTAGTTATTATAGTATCTAGTTTTCTTTGTCTGCATTGAGCCCTTCTGGCATTAGTTTGCTATATATTATAAGATTTATTGAGGGGGAATTTTGATGCTTAAAGTATCATTGACTCTTCTATCCCCCCCTCCCCCCTCACACCCACCTACACAAATTTTTATCTTACGCATAATAGATATGTTAAGTTGTTGACTGTTACAGCAATTCGGCGGGGACTCCTGGTCATCAAAAGCCACCATTTGCTCATCATTCATCACAAACTTTAAATGAGCCTGCTGATTTGCAGCCTAGGCAAGTTAAGGATGCAAATTTAGGTGGTAATCATAGGAAGGATTTGCTTGGGGAGAAGCGGCCGCCAGTTTCACATGCTGCATCACGAATGCAAATAAGGGTGAATGAGTCTCAACCACGCTCGACAACTTCATCTAGTAGTTTTGTGGTCGGGGTTTATTCATCCTCTTCGGATCCTGTTCATGTACCAATTCTTAATTCTAGATCAGCTACTAATATTGGGGCAATCAAGCGTGAGGTTGGAGTTGTTGGACCTCGCCGCCAGTCTTCTGAGAATTCTGGTAAATCCCCATCTTCACAAAGCTCATCCTTATCAATTATACAATCAGGACGAGAAGGCCACTCCAGGGAATCGACCCGACCCTTTAGTGCTATTTCTAAGGGTGACCAACCTGGTCAAAATATGGCAACTGAAACTGCAATACCAGTTCCTTCTCCGAGCAGATCTTTTTCGAGTAATCAGCATGGTAGCAGACCTCATCAACATGTGGGTCGTCAGAAAGGTATACTGTTTGCAAAGTAGAATATTTATCTAGATGCTTTGAACTTTTATAACCGATCATTTTCTAAAATTGTTGTCATTTTAGTCTGCTTGAGTTGTTAGTTATTGTTTTTGGATTTAATTGTGTCTTGTTTCCTATATGTATTCTGCTATTAATATATTTTGATTTGTAATAGTATAAGTTTGCCCTGGAAATTAGTGTTACATTTTACCAGAGTCGAAAGTGTGGATGTCTGAACACCTGCAATTTAGGAATCTTGTTAAGCAGATTAAATGCGAAAGGAACTGGGTAGAAACTGCTGTTATTTTTACTTTATATTGTAACTGACTGACTGTTGTTGCCCCCTGGCACCGCAAGCGATTTATAGTATCGTATCCTTTGATGCTTTCGTGCACACCTACTTTTATAATTATTTAGCAAAATACTTACCGTGAGTCATGTTTATGTAGCTCTTCAGCCCAACAAGGAGTGGAAACCAAAATCAACCTTGAAACCAAATGCCAACGGACCTGGGGTTATTGGTACTCCTCCAAAAATTGTTTCTCCTCCTGCTGACAATTCTGAAGACTTAAAAACAGAAGCAACTCAGATGCAAGATAGAATGTTTCAATTGAACATCTCTGAGAATCAGAACGTGATCATAGCTGCACATATTCGTGTCTCTGATGCAGACAGATGTCGGCTGATGTTTGGCAGCTTGGGGACAGAATTTGAATCTTCAAGAGATGCAGTTTTCCACACAGTTGAGGGTGCTGAGGAATCAAGTACTGAAGCTTCCCTAAGGTTTGATTGGTAACTATTAATTTGATTTCATCACAACGTGCTCATGCTCATATTTGGAAGACATTACAGTTTACCTTCATTTTGCTTTGAAATTAATCTTCACGAGTGCTCTGTCTATCTCGCTTAAGTATCCTTTTTGGGGAAATTAACATTAGCACTTAGTTATAAGGGGCCCCATCCTTGCTTGTCAGAGTAACAGCTTCCACTGTTCCTTCTTGCACAATTTTTTCTAGTGTGGAACTACATAACTTTGTGGAAGATTTAATTTATAATAAAAAATGAAGCACTTGGGATGACCGTTGAATAGTAATTCGAGTGTCTCCTTTTGGGGAATGCCACTGGTAGCTTCCTTATAAGATTCTTGGTACTTTGTAAAGAAAAAGCTGGTTTTGATTTCTTGGGTTAGAGTAGCATCAGATTTGAATATTTTCTAGATCTTTGACACCTTTGATCCATTTTGTTTCATTTGCACCTACAATTTAATATTGGGAATGATTTTACTAGCAGTAATCGTGAAATATTAAGTATTTCAATGGCAGTGTGTCAGCCTCGGTGCCAGAATATTCTACTGAGGATCCTGCTGGTGGCAAACAGTTAGAATTGATGGATGGCCACATCCGCAATTCTGGATCTAACTCTCCTGCATCGGTTGCAATGTCTGATCATCAATCGTCTGAGCAGAGAGAGTCTTCGAGTCCTGAGAACTTGGACAACTATGCTGATGTTGGGTTGGTTCGGAACAACAGCCCTTCTTATTCTCCGGAGCTGCTACAAACGCAAGATACTTCTGCATTGCCGAGCTTTTCAGTGAGTCTAGTGTTCACTACTCATGACTGAACTGCTTGAGATTTTAGTTGTCTGTTTGCTTTGATCTATTTATAATTATACCAGGCAGGAAATGCAATTATTCCTTTTAATTGCATTTCCAGTTCACTATCATTTTTATTTTGTAATAATTTTCCATTCATGCAGTCATATGAAACCCAGATGGGATATGATATGCCATACTTTCGGCCACTGGTTGATGAAACAGCTAGGGGGCCTGGTTTACTGTCTCAACAGGAGGTAGAATTATTTTGTTGGATGCCATAAAATAAATATACTTTCCATCCCACCCTTTATTTATATCCTTCTCTCTCGCCCTCGTTCTTGCTCTCACACATCTTCTGATCCACATCTGTACAACCTTCTTGTTGTTGAGTTCTGTACATCTTGTTGATACCTAATAGAAACTTACAGGAAAATTTATTTTTCTTGCTTCATGTTTGTTTCAATTCCGTTTTTGCTTTTGCCACCACATCTTACTGTTTACTGCTATGGATAGCTTATTTAGGTATTGTTTGATTGCTTTGTTCTCAGGTATTGGGGCATACAGCGAACAGCAGTCCTGCGTCCTCTATTGCCATGGTCCAACAGCAACAGCAGGTGGTACAACAGCAACAGCAGCAACAGCTTGCCCAGATGTACCCCCAAGTTCATGTCCCTCATTTTACCAATCTTATGCCATATCATCGGCAGTTCATTTCTCCTGTCTACGTTCCTCCAATGCCCGTTCCTGGTTACTCTAATACTTCTGCCTACCCCCATCCATCAAATGGAAGCAGTTACTTGGTGATGCCTGGAAATAGTTCTCATCTGACTGCAAGTAGCCTCAAGTACGGTGTCCAGCAATTCAAGCCTGTTCCCACTGGTAGTCCTACTGGGTTCGGGAATTTTACTAGCCCATCTGGTTATGCTATCAACACTCCTGGTGTTGTTGGAAGTGCAACAGGGCATGAAGACTCATCTCGGCTCAAGTACAAAGATAACAATCTTTATGTCCCGAATGCACAGGTGACTTCTTTAGTAACTAAAATCTATCGAACTGAAAATAGATTAAGAAAAAATTGAAGATAGTCATATCATGGCACACAAATGGAGTGCTATCTATTATTTCCGTCTCATCCTGATGCCACATATGAACCTCAAAATAAACAAGAATATGCTATTGAAACCTCAAATTTTCTATTGTTTGCTAACAGCAATTCATTCAAATTAGAAGCTTATAGCTGTGCAACATGCTTTAGAATTCTTATTTCTGCCTATAAAATTTTGGCATGGTTTTGAACCACACGCATCCTTTCTTTTAATCATCTGACTTGGAATACCTTCTTGTTCTCTCTTTCTTATTTTGTTAAGGATTGATTTCTTTTCCTTAGCTGATCAGTGATTCATTGACGATGGATGATGAAATTATGTTCCAATTCTGAACATGTTTTTGGGTATTCTGATTGTTATTTTTTTGGGTTACAAGATTCATTTTTATGTTTTGGACATTACAGGCAGAGACGTCTGGAATGTGGATAAACCCACGCGATCATTCTAGTCTGCAGCCCACTTCTTACTACAACATGCCTGGGCAAACACCACATGCCGCTTATTTGCCATCTCATAGTGGCCACGCCTCGTTTACTGCAGCAGGTGCTGCTCAATCTTCTCACATGCAGTTTCCAGGCATGTACCATCCTGCTAGTCAGGCAACTGCAATGGCCAGTCCTCATCATTTGGGGGCTAACATTGGTGGTAACGTTGGGATCGGCGTGGCTGCAGCAGCTCCTGGTGCACAACCAGCTGCCTATCAGCAACAGCCCCAATTGGGTCATCTGAATTGGCCAGGAAACTTCTGAGTTGCTTAGGACCCCCCTTGGATCCCAAAGATTGGCATTGAATATAAGATTTTTAAATTTTGTTATCAATGTGAAGAACACTCGTCTTTTCTAATCGAACACTATCTTCTAATCAATGCATCAAGTTTTGTTGAAATTTTGTCCAGCAATTTTAGGGTGTACAAATGAGATCATTAACCGGGCTAGCTCTCGATATCCAAGTTACCCTCATTTGTAGTGTACTAGTATCTTATAATGCAAGATATGAATTTGAAATACTGAAAAACAAAGGATTAAACTATAGAATTTGGTCTTTAGTTACAGCATGAAGCTTTGCAAAAAAAAAGGTGAAGGGGCGGTCTTGGATCTGAAGATTCGCTTTGAAAATTGGAGTATTCTACTTTAGATTGTCTTGTACGTGTGAACATCGAAACAAAATGGTTGTGTTTTGATCTTCCTTTTGTCAGAGGAAAAGTTAAAGTTGGTACGTTCAAATTCGTCCTCGGGATCACCAACAGCCCCTCCCTTCTCACGCTTTTATCATTGTCCCCACCAACATTCTTTAACCAAAACTAAAGCAATCCCACCTCTATGTGGGTTGGTGTGTGATTCAAGACAAAAGTGTTCACTTCCAATAATATTTTGCTGGTATAGATAAATTGATGAGGGTTTAGTATATTGAATTGGATAGTTATAAGCAGATGGTTCACATCTTTTTAATTTTATCGAGTATAACACATTGAATATGACATTAAAGGTATATGATAGATTTGACCGTGTCAAGTCTTCAAATTTCAAATCTGTTTGAATTGATTGGCATTTGTAGACCATCTCTTGCTCTAACAATTTTAGGGTATCGCCTACTCTAGAGCTAAATGAGCAAAGAAGTTCGAAAACTAAGATCTAAATGAGTTGTAGATGATAATTAGCCCAATGATTGCTCAGCCTGATGTGTTTTACATGTTTGTTCAAGATGGTAGTCTGGGTCACTATAATATATGCTATTAGAGGTGTGCAACAGATTATCTCATGTCAAACTGTTAGCCTAAGTCTTAAGACACCAAGTAGGTGAAGTGACTAGTCTTTCCAAGTCACTTACTTCTAACTCTAATTATCCATTTGAATTCCTCATCTTGGGATCTTCTTTGGTGGATCTCTCTTGTTTCTATTGAATCCCCTTCATTTTGGAATTTTTTTTTCTATTTTTACACCACGTTCTTCCTCGCTTTCCATCTTTTCTTTTATTTTCGAGGTTTCTCCCCGTTTATTTGTACGAATGAGAGACAGTATTCTGCCAAAATAGTAGAGACATTCTCACTTGGTTTGTGAATTCTATTTTTCCCCATGCCTTCACTTCCCCTATCTCGAGATCGTGCATTTTTTAACTGGACTCATTCCCTGCTCAAAAAAGTCGATTGTCCCATGGTATCTCTTGCTCTAATCAAGATAGAGCATGAGCAGGTGCAGGCAGGGGCCCTTAGTCCCTGACATTTAGGGTGGTAAATGGCAAGTTGTCACGTGGTGGCTGTTCATGGTTCCAGCCCACGCGCCACCTGTGAATAGATTGTAATTAAACTGTTAATTAATTAATTGGCGTTCGTGCAGTCTATGACTGAATCTTAAGAAAGAGCTGTTTTTTTGGCCCACTTATGAAGCCAGCATCCGTACGCTGATTTCATTTCCACCCCTTTTTTGTATAATTATAGTATTTTTATGGTAATTGATAATTATATTTGCATATTTCTTTCAGGTTCGACTACGAAGAAATATGTGCAGACTTTATCGACTCCCTTTGCTGAATTTGTTGTGAATGCTACGGTGAGAAGAGGTTTGCGTTGCGTCAATAAGGATGTAATGAATTGAAAATGCAATAAAGACGTGACACACGAGAATTGTTAGTAAAAATAGGTTAGAAAGGGCAGTGATTGAAGTTTGATATTGAAAATTATATAAAACGCCAAGTCTCGTAAATTCCAACTTACAAAGTGTGTTTAAGCACTTGCATGAACGAGAAGTGAAAAGGGAATTGAATGTAAGACGAGATTAGATTCCTAACATGGATTGGTGGGGGCCACCTATCAGCCCGAACATCTAGTCTAGCTAGAAATTGTGAATTACAAGAGGGTAGAGTCCATCTCATTGTGAAATGCTAGAGGAATTGATCAGATTAGAGGTGCAAAATGGGTTGGTTAAGACCACCTATAAGCCTAACATGCCTAAAAAATGCCAAGCCTTGTAAGTGAAAGGATCGGATATTATCGTTTTCTTTTCTGATATTTTTCCAAATAAACAAAGAAAAAATGAAAAGAATGTCCCAAGGACTTGGGCCATGTGAAATATGGGTCTGATGACTCGACTTGATTCACGCTTCTAGCGAGATTCATGGAAAAATTTTTGAAAAAAAAAAGGAAGAGCCTCATTTTTAGCGCCCTATAAAGAAATGGAAATCCTTGTCAACCGTCCAAAAAAATCCTAAATCGACTCGATTCCAAGTGAAAGGATCGGATATTATCGTTTTCTGTTCTGATATTTTTCCAAATAAACAAAGAAAAAATGAAAAGAATTTCCCAAGGACTTGGGCCATGCGAAATATTGGTCTGATGACTCGACTTGATTCATGCTTCTAGCGAGATTCATGGAAAAAATTTTGAAAAAAAGAAGAAGGAAGAGACTCATTTTTAGCGCCCTATAAAGAAATGGAAATCCTTGTCAACCGTCCAAAAAAATCCTAAATCGACTCGATTCAATAGTTGATTAACGTGCACCTAACTTGTTACCTGTTGTAGTTGACTCCTTAATTGTCCTGTTACATATATGTACAAAGAAAAGTCGAATGGTACAAAATGCTTGAGAGCAAAATATGTTTCATAAAATAGCAAGGCATAGTGGCATAGTGCCCTTTAGCCTATTCTAACATCAACATGTCAAATCCTATACTATGGTGGAGACTTGAGTCTAAACCCACCAAGAAAATTCTGTCACACATGCATGAATGTGGTGGGGGGACGGATCAACGGAAGAAGATTGTAGTAAAAGACAGTATTTATTGATATCATATAATTTTAGAAGGACTTGTGATTTGACCTCTTGTCATATCTACTAATTTACTTTGTTGCTGTCACTACTGTCTTTTTTGAAACACGCCAATACCTCTTCAAAACTTATTTTTGATATATTCAGTGTCTCGTCGATATCTCGATGTCACAGCTTACAAAAAGAATATTTTTCTTCCATGCATTTGGCATGTCAAGTTCACATCTAATCTGATATAAATATGAGTGAGTGTGTGTGGGTATCCTCAATTAGATCATTCCATGATCTGAATGGAATAATTTTGAGTACCCTAAATAATGCACCCATGATCTGAAAGGAATCTTAAACTAGTCTTCTGAATATTGATTTTATCTAATGTGTGTGAAATTTTCATATTGCATGGTCCATTGCACTTTATTCCTAGTAATTTTGTCTCCATTTGTTCAAATACTATATGAACTACTGCAAAATTTTGTTTTTTCTAGTCGCTCTTATCTCTATTTCATTTTAAAACAATCCCAATTTAATACATTCTTAAAATATTTATTTGGTCGAATATTTCTATGTCATGATAATCAAAATTAAATAATTTACAGCTGCACGACTTTTAAGGCGTTGTTTGAGCCCTATTATTTTCTCATTAAAATAAAAAATATAATCATTATCCGTCACATCAAATCATCATATTTGACTTTTTATCTCTTATATGGGGCTCATAACGACTATATTTTTCACTCTCATTTTTACAATAATGTGGCTCAAACGAGGGCTAAGTATGTTACTTTTTTCAACTAGTTACTCTTGTTAACGAATGAGCCCATCCTCTCCAGTCAGATTTAGTCATGTGTGACTTTCTTTGTATTTCTTTATGGGTTAAAATTATTAGTGATCATTGAATATTTGTAGAAGTTTATGTTGATGAACAAGCTTCTTTTCATTTCAATTTGATCACTGAATATGAAATTATGTTACAATTTAGTTACTCTACACATGTTTATTAATTTGAGGAACGACAGGTGACAAGACATTCCTCATCGGGAGGCAACTAAGATTAAATATACACACTTCATGCGCCTTATTACTCATCATCATTTGTCGACTGAAGTATTATTTCTTAGCATAAAATGAAGTTCAATCATCGACATCGAATTTTGCGACAAATCAGAAATGGCCGAACTGGCGTTTTTAATCCTAATCTTTAAAAACTTTAGTCCTTTCTTTATCCCATCAAATCTTAATTAAATCATCTCTATCATTTCAACCCTCTATCCAAATGCTCCCAAACTCCGCACCCCAAGTAAAGGTCAAGAGCCACGAGTGCAATCATTGTGCATATAAGCATCACACTGTGTGTTCACACACCTAAACGCGTGCACATATAAAATAATTATAAACGTTAATCCATAATCACTTTTTTTTTCCTTATTATTTTTTGTTTTTTAATTATAATTAGTGATACGTATCATTTTAAAGAGATAAAGATTAGATCTGTTGAAGCACGAAAATTGGACTTTAGCATAATTAATTTCATTTCATTAATTAAATAAAGATTATTTGTTCATCAAAATTGCACGTGCGTGCACACGCACATGGTGAAGATATTGTTGAGATGTGAGAATTTCAAGAACAATGGCCATTTCAAAAGGAGTTTTTGAAGTTCGAAAGCTCATTTTTTGGATACGTTTGTTTAATTTTATGAAAGCGTTTCTTCTAATTAGAAGAGCTTTTAGAGAAAGCTTGTTTAAAGTGGTTTCCTTTGAAAACACTTTTAGAATAGGAAGCGTTTTTAAAAAAATAATTTTCAAACAAAAATTAAGATAACTTTCTCCAAAAATTCTTCTACAAAAAGTAAAAGTAAATGCAAAAGTCATGCTAAATGAGCCTGTAGTATTTCTCAATTTGGAAGCCAGGTAATTAACAAGGAATCCCTGCCTAGTTGAATTATATAAAGTGAAAATTACATCCATACATCGTTTTTAACTTCTCATTTCAAAAATCACGTTTAAAAGCTTTTTGTTCAAAAATCAGATGATAATTCTACATTTTAACATTAATATTAATATTATAAAATTAAGCTAATTTACATACCAATCCGACCCCCATCCACCCCACCCAATTTTACTCTCAAACCCTAAATTATTTTCATCTCTTATGTCTCAATCCCCATCTCTTTCCTCTCCCTTCTCTCTTTTTTCTATGTCATATCCCTTCTCTCTCCGATCGACAGCACACCACCATGTCATACGACTATGCCTCTCATAGCATCATCGTGCAGTGTTGCTCATGAGCATGATTATTGAATGACTGACTAAACGATGCTGATTGTTTGGGGCTATGGGATTGTTGATGAGGACGAAGGTGGCATGACAAAATTGTAAAGGAGTACTAGTCGACAAGGTGAAGAATATTTACGGTAGAATGGATGATCGATGGTACATTGCATTAAGGGTATTAGGTAGTAGTCCTACAAGATTTGGGTGAGTAGGGGCAAGTTTCTAATTTGTTAGATGTGGGTTGATATGGTTTTGCAAATGGTGGTGTGAAGGTGGTGTTGGCATCGGTGGTGGTACAGTAGGGTAAATAGGATGAAGAGTCTAACCAATTATTTGGATAATTGTGGCTAATAAATTCGTTAATTTGTGATCAATACATAATATGATCGATAAATGGGTAATTAGTGATTAATAAACAACGTGACATAAAAAATGTGAGAATGAGACTAAATTTATAATCGTGACAAATTAATTTGATAATTTGTGATCAAGAAATAATTTGTGATATATAAAATTTGTGACTTGTGATCAAGAAATGATGTTTAACATAATTAGTGTCTGATAAATAAGTTGTGACATATGAAATTTGTGATAAGTGATCGGGAAATTATATATGATCGATTAATATAATAATTTGTGACCAATAAAAAAGTTGTGAACTATAAAATTTGTAATTTGTGATTGTGATGTTCTGTAATTATGACCAGTACGTAACTATGACTATAAAATGCATAATATTATGACCTTAATATATTATTTATTTAATTAATAAATTTTTTTTATGACATGACTTTTGAAATTGTAAAATGTATTTCTTAGTTTTTGAAATTGTATATTTCAAACGCCTTAAAAATGTATTGTTCCCTTGTATTAAGCTAAGCTACATAATCTATAATATATTAAAGGGAAAAATCATTTTTTGGACGATTTTAACCCTCCTACAATTCAATTATTTCAATAATACATTACTTTTCGTTTTTCGATATGTAATAAATACTACATAATTATTGTGGTTTATGAAATTTGTGTTTTTAATTTTTAATTAATTAACGTTCATATTAATCTAGATTCAATGAATTTTCACTTGATGAATCTTGAATTATATATGAATCTAGAGTTATTATAGATGAATTGATTAATATTGATGTGTCTAAAAATTTTAATGAGTGTTTAAATTTATGTATTAACAATTAATTTTTATGTATCAAATGTAATATAAAAAAATTGCTCATTTATATTATTTCATCATTATAAAAAATTTGAATCATAAAAATTGAGTTTTGAGAGTACAATTTTCTTTTCTTAAATTTCTATGTTAAATTTTATTTTCTTTAATTTGTTCGAAACTCAGCAAATCCTCCAACGTACCAAATATTACTTTTACATAACTTATAAAGTAGTTTAGAATAACGTGCAATGCACCTTCAACTTTGACTAGTGTTAATAAAACCTGTCTTTTCATTTTGTACATTAATGCTTGTTTTCTAGATTCAAATATTTTTTTTTGGGGGGACTATATATATATATAACATTCTATCGCACTCTTTTTTCAGTAAGAGGGTGTATTTTCAATTTTTTTATTTTTTATTTTCTATTTTTTTTTTTGTGGTGGCGTGGAAGAGGGGGTAAATTAAGTGACTAAAAACTTCACACACATCTTTTTATTTTCGATACTTGATTTAGCCAAAATAATAATAATAATAATAATAATAATAATAATAATAATAAAGAAAACTAAATAAATGTATAATAAATGAAATGGCATAGTTATTGGGTAAAAGTGATTATCAAATCAAACAAAGTGTCACTAAATGAAGGAATTAAGTAAGGATGAAAAAATTTCCTGCTACCAACTGGTCCTGCGTTACTCTGTCTATAGGAAGAAAACATTGTCACTTCGCCCAAATATTGAAACCTCTAAAACTTTGAGTTTCAATTTAAATGCTAACTTTATTAAGAAACTTTGAATCACGCTTCACGTACAGGAGGCAATTACAGAGATTGGTCAGGGCAGACACAAGGACAGGGCTTGCACATTTTTTTTAATGCAGGTCAATGGGACCTACTTGCCGCTACAGTGGGGAGGCTTGTAAACTCCTGTAAAACAGTGCCCTGTACGCAGGGCATTGTTATATATTTTTTTGATATCTTAACACAATGTTTTGTCGTCTTCCTATTAGCAAAGAAGAGCTAAACTCAAAAATATACTGAAAAGACAGTAAAAGGACAAGAGTTCACGATAACAAATATTGACTCTTTTTTAACATGTCAAGGACGTACCCCAAAGCTCTAAAATACTTGAATGTTGAAAATAAAATAAAATAAAAAAATGAAAACCATGTCATCAATTTCTCCAGCCTGTACCAACCATCCATACCCTAGAAAGTCCAATATAAAGCACAAGTGAAAGGAAAAAATACAACTCTCTCTATCTCTCTCCTCTCTTCTCTCTCTCTTCACTTCAATGAGTGTTGTCTCAAGTGTTGCTATTTCACTCATCATGGCAAACAGACATGGAATCACACTCCAGCACCAAAGTCTCTGTTCCTTCTGTTAAATTGAACTGTGTAATCTGTATAGGGTTCTTATTAATTGTTCTTCACATGATAGTGTTTCCCTCCATTAATCTCTTTTCTTGCAGCTTTTGACTCTTTCAAAGCAGACAATAAAGAGACTTCGTTATCATTTCCAACTCCTCCTTGTGTTCCTCAATACTCCTTTTCTTTACTATAAAAACTAATATTCATGGAGGGTTACGCAGGTTACAGAAAAGGGAGAGAAATTAATTCATACTCATATTCGTATTCACATTCACATTCTAACTCAAACCCTTCTTTTTCTTCCACACTTCTTGATGCTATTTATCGTTCGATCGACGAGGGCGAAGAGGAATTAGTATCGTACAAAGAAACCATGAAGAAGAAACAGAATGATCTTGTGGGCTTTCAAAGCAAGGAAGAAATGGCAAATTTTCAAAGAGTTTGCATGATAGAGAAATGGATGGAGAAAAAGGTGAGTGAAAAAGCGGTTGATAGGAGAAAATCCATGGTTGATTTTGATAGAAAATCAAGAAAAGAGAGTGGCAATATTGGGAACTCTTTGTTCTTGAAATCGAGTTCGAGTTCTTCGGATTCGAGTTGTGGAGGTGGATTTTCATCCTCAGAAGCTGAATCTGTTCATGTGGTTTCATCAAGAACCTCTTGTTATGGCTTGCAAAGGCCTAAACCAATTCGAACAAGCGTTATGGCTTCTGAGAAAGAAAAAATCGGCAAGTATGATAAAGTGTTTGATGATAATACTTGTCATCAAAAGCATAAGAATGAAGGAGGATTTATGAAAACAAAATCTAAAGCTTTGAAAATTTATGGGGATTTGAAAAAAGTTAAGCAGCCAATTTCCCCTGGAGGAAGACTTGCAAGCTTTTTGAATTCACTTTTCACTGCATCAAATGCTAAGAAATCCAAGATTTCATCAAATGGAGCTTATGATGATCATTCTTCGACTGTGAAGTCTGCGAATGCATCGACATGTTCATCAGCCTCTTCGTTTTCGAGATCATGTTTAAGCAAGACTCCATCTTCAAGGGGAAAATCGAGTAATGGGACGAAAAGATCGGTCAGATTTTATCCTGTAAGTGAAATTGTTGATGAAGATTGTCAGCCATGTGGGCACAAATCTTTACACGAAGATAAACAAAAGTTGGAGCCTATAAAAAGTAGAATCACAAGTTCTATTAACGACGAGCTGATGGTGCATCTTATGGAGAAGAATCGTCGAGTCGAAGACGCTGCAAGGGATTTGTTGAGGAATTATCAGAAGAAGGTGGAGACTGAATTTGAGCTGGAAAGACCCCATGTCAAAAATCAAGTTTTTGATAATCAAGACGAAGATTTAGAGGAAGATGAGGATGAGGATGATGCAAGTTGTGCAAGTTCGGAGCTTTTCGAGCTCAATAATCTTTCAGCCATTGGAATGGAGAGGTATAGAGAAGGATTACCAGTGTATGAAACTACTCGTCTTGATAAAAATCGAGCTATTGCAAATGGCTTGATATTGTAATCACCCAAAAAAAAAAAAAAATTAAAAAAAAATGAAGAAAATAATAAGTCCTAGGAGTATTCGTACTTTTTTATTATGTTATTGGCTTGGGGGTTTACTAATTAAATCAAAAGAAATTGTATTTCTTTTTGTAATATACTTAATCTTTGAATCCATTTCTCCTCTCTTCTTTTGAAATGGATATCGTTATTCCAATATGCGTAAAGAAGATGTGTACAAGAGATGTTTGTTTAGTCGAACATACATATTTGTGTAACAAGTTGAAGAAAGTGAAGGATATGAGATAGATTTCACACCCAAGATGATGAGAAGTGAAAACAAAGCAAAGGCAGATCTTCTTTACATCTCAACCCACATTATTGTGTGTGTGTGTGTGTGTGAGAGAGAGAGAGAGAGAGAGAGAGAGAGAGAGAGAGATTTTACTTTTTCTTGAACTGTGGGGTCTATTTTGATTCAAGTTCAAGATGTAGCTAAACATTTTCACCATAAATATGAAATTAATGTTATGTTGAATTCGAAATTCAATTTTGTAAAATAATTTATTTAGTAATTAGTTTCAACCTTTAGGTGGTGGTAACAAAAGGTCAAATGAAGAATTGTGAAGATAAGGAGCAATAAATCAAAGATGGATGGATGGCTGGCTGGCTGGTCTCCAAAAGATTGGGACACCAAAATCTATCTTTAGATCTTTGTTGGGTGGGCAAATTAATCTTTTACTAATTAGCGTGGAACAATTTTCCAACATATCTTATAAATGTATTGTACAAGAAATAATCACTAATCGAACAACAATATATATATATATATATGTAAATTACAAGTAATTAATTAATGCACTATATATTTTGACTTAGCGAGGGAGTGCCGTCCCTACCAAGAGGTAAGGCGACAGGCGAAATTTAACTCGCGGGACTGGCTATCAATTATGGCATTCATTTAAAATTACGAAGATCTAATGTAAAAAGCGCTATGCACCTTCTTCTTACTATGAGTATGAACAGGGGCAGCTCGAATTAGAATATAATTTAATTATATATAAGAATTATTAAATGCTTGTGTAATATACAAAATAAGTAAACAAAATCACATGAAGGGAAACATTATATCTTCATGGGCCCAAATAAATAATTAGTTGGTAGTTGTTGCTTCACTGATGTGCTGATTTTTTATTTTTATTTTTCCCTTGTGCTTTATGTTAATTTGAGTGAGAATCAAGTTATTCATAAATTTGATCGACTTGATCAACATATATAACTGAACTCCTTCCATTCATTTTTTTGCTAATAGGATATCCTTCATTATTTTACTAAAAATACAACTGAATAATGTTATACAACTCAAATATATGCACCTCGTAAATCTACTATTTCACTATAAAACTCGAGTAAGTGTAGAGCTCTTAATAGAACGATACTAAGCCCTTCTTGGAGCCCAATTTTGGGGAAAATAATGAATTTTTGAATAGTGTATTAATGGAAAATGTGTGGGTAAATAATAAGAATTTTTTTTGAATTTGCGAGTAATATTATTTTATTGAAAAATATGTGATTAAAATACTGTTGAAAAATACATTTTTTTTCCTAAAGATATGTTAAGCTAATTAACCAGTTAGTATAATAGATTGTAAACATTAACGAATGAAAAAGTTAACATATTGTATATTGTATTGTTGAGAGATATACGTATCAGTCGATAGTGTAGATTTTAACTTACTAAACATTTTAAAGAGAAGTGATAATCAACTATTCTACCTAGTTCAGAATCTAAGGATACTACGTACCCAATATGCTTTTAGTCCCGATTCGATATGAATTCTTTAAAATTCATTTTTTTTCCCAAATGTTATTTTCAACCCCATTCTTTCCTTGAAAATAATTTTACTCGTGAACCTATGACTTTTTCCGTAGCACTTTTAAACACGATATAAAAAAATCACTTTCCACATAATCTATTCTAAAAATATACATATCAAACAAGTTCTTAGCCCTTGTTTAGTGGGGATTAAAATAAGATTTTTAATGAATTTTAATAAAAATTGATGAAATGTGCGATTGAAAAAGTTGTGGATCACATGTCATATATGATTAAAATTTAAATTATAATCCATGCCAAACATGGACTTAATATAATTAAGAGATTAACAAAACTAAAAGGAATGCATGCCCCTTCCAAGTGTTGAACTATAGGAAAAGAAAAGGCTATCCTATCCTATGTAATTGGAATGTTTTAAAGGCTTAGGATGGTCCAGAAAAGGAGGAATCAAATGAAGTAACGTAGGTGTCAAAGTACGATGTTTACATTAAAAATCAAAGCACTCTTAATTTATACGAATTAATTATTTATCAAAAGTTCACATTTAGGTATAATGCTCTTCTTTATAATCTTAATTAATTAGGGTTTTGGCCTTAATTAATTTCATATATATACTTTACGCATGCAACCTAAATGGCTCTACACAAAAGTTTTTTGTTAGGTCATCAACTGTTGAAAGTGGACCAATTGCATGCTAACCTTCTTTCTTCGGTTCACACCTTCTTTAAACGTTTTCTGGTTTTTTATTCACAATAAGCCCCGTTTTGATGGGATTAAAATCATATTTTAGTAAATTTTAATAAATGTTGATGAAATACATGGTTAAAAAATTATGAATCTCAAAAAATACCTAGTTAAAATCAATTATTGACTTTAATTTACCTTAAAATATGAATTTTAGCCCCTATTTGGTAATAATTTTTCACAAAAAAATCAAAAATTTGATTTTGACTGTTATTTCACTATTTCAGCTGTCATTTGTTTACTTATTCATTTACAGTTTGGACTCACTTTTCTCTCTAATGGTCAAAAAATCAATTCTCATACTTATTACTGAACAGGCCCATAGTTCTTCCTAAACAGTGGCTAAATATAAAAAATATAGGATATATATGTCAAAACTCAGGTTGTGTTGGAAAATAATCAAGTGTCTCGAGATCGTAATGTACTAAGATACCGTACTTAGAAGTTTGAATTGTAGAATTTTATACATAACATAGTCTATATCTTAATTTCAAGACCTTTATTTGTCATTACATTGTTACAAAATAAATGAATTTATTTATGTCAAGCTGAGTAGGGACATCGTGGTTCGTTCCCAATGCGCTCATTCTCAAAGTATTTTTGAGCGATTAGAACTGCATTGAGCTCTCAAAGCAAAGCGGCTTAGTTCACACTAGATTTTTGAATCTTCAATCAGAGTCAGTTCAATCTTTACAAATTAATCCATTGCTCTCCAAACTTTAGAAATTTCCATTCCAAAATTTTTTACTTATATGAGTCAGCTTTCCATGTCGATAATTATTGGAAAATAAAATAAAATATTTGTGAAGGAAAAATCCATAAACAAAATAGAAATGTGTTGGATTTTTTGATACCCAATAATCCGAGCGATGATTTAAAACAGTTGTCGGATTATTTATCGATACCATGGACTTGGCCTGGCTCGGAGACGAATTATACTTTTGGATGGCTCAGGTTTGGGTTGGATGATTATTTGGTTAGTTGGACCATTTAGTGATTAATATGGAGTTGAAAATTGGCCCATTAGTTTAGATTAATTGGTACCCTCTTAGTGAATCTTAGGCCCAATTGGAGTGATCTAAACTAACCTATATATATGTAGTTATCTCCCAATCGTTTTGGTGTGTGTGTTGTAGCAATAGAGAGGAGAGTTGAGAGAAGAGAGGCAACCGAGAAAGAGGGAAGCCATGTGAAGTTGTGAGTAAGATTCAACCATTGTGATATCTTCTTCTTCCTGTCCATACCCTTGTGGATTGCTAACACCACCACCCTTCTCCTTTGTGGGGTTTGAGAGAGTTTGGGTAGTCCAAAGTATAAGGCGAAAGTCTCGGGTCGAGCCGAGATAAATCGGTGTTCGTTTGATTATTTTTTGAGCCCAGAATGAAGATTTATCGAGGGATTTTAGCTACAAATGATATCAGAGCTTGTGTTGTTGATAAATCTGTGATTTTTAGGGCTAAAAAGGGGTTGGAAGTGGCCAGAAATCGGACTGAAAAACAGGCAGAAAAACTGAACAGTTTTCTGGGATTTTTTCAATTTTCTACCGTATATGTTTTGGCGTATTCTGATGAAACCAAAAACTGTTTGGAGAAACGGACACCACCATTGGACTATGCAGGTGGAGACGATTCAGAAAGGTTGGGGCGCCGCCGGCGCATGGCCGACGACCATCGGCACGTGGTATTCCGTTCATGGCGCGTGAGGGCACGTCTTGCTGATTCTGGAGATGATGTCTTCAGACAAAATGTTGCTGGAGATGAGACGGACCTTGCAGTATTGTCGGATTTTAGTTTGGAGTGATACAGTAAAAGTTGGACGATTTTGCCTTTGGATGCTCGGGTGTTGGGTGTTGTTTTCATGTTGCTGTGATTGCTGTTGACTTTAGGATGAAGAGTGATAGTCCTGAAGTGGTGAATTCACGTCTCTCGATATTTACGGACCTTCAGACGTGGTCCGCTCAGTATCGTATTCTTTACTTTTTATTATTACAGTTGAAATAAATGTGTAGAGTAATTTATTTTTTGCATTACAGGTCATCGTGTAGGGTAACATTAGTTTTGGGGTTACCATGAAGGGGTAACATTGCCTGTTGTTAGACCTAGGAATTATTTGCCTTAAATTCTTTGTGAATTTGCTGTCAATTTTTCTACATTATTATAATTGAATTTGGCCTTAGAAAAGTTTACTGGACTATTCTAAGTGAATTTTGTTCATACTTTACTTGTGGTCATTATTTGGCATTGGTGGCAAATGTAGGTTTAAGGTAAGTGCGAAAAATAACATATATTTTAATTGTGGTAAAATTTGGATATAGTTGAAAGAGTTTGTCCTAGGATGATAATAAAAGGAAAGATGAGGATAGAGATAAGGCGAATGTGACTTTAGGGTCGAGTAGTGATCCTAGTGAGGTTTATTGAGAGAATAAACATGGTTCTTGCATTACATCTGTGTGTAATCCTTTCTGCATGTATATGATCACTTAATTATGTTGCAATGTTGATGTTACACTTTCAATATGTTTGATGTGTGTAATTGCATGAATTAGAGTAACTTATTACTTTGTGTAATATGTTTACATGC